TGAAAGATTATCTGTGGAATATTACTGCCTCAGCATTTGCCTAAGTGATCCAAGGAAACCACAGAAAAACTTGAACCAAGGCAAACGGACCCGGAATCGAACCGGCGTCCTCCCGAATGCTAAGCAATGGTCTAGACCTCTAGGCTATGCCGCCATCGGAGATGAAAATGTTCAGTCTCTTAGAATCTTTGAAAGCGAGACTCGAGTCTCCGTCTCTCATTGAGTCTCTGGTGTCGCTGAGAGACTGTCAAAAAAACTGTTTAGTGTTTCAGAACGAGAGACTCGAGTCGCTCATAGAGAGATCCTCATTTCGTATCCAGTCTCTGAACGAGAGACTCGAATCTCTGAACGAGAGACTTGAATCTCTCAATAAGTGGTGTCCCGATAGACGTGGTTATAATTTTCTAACTTCAACATATTTCAGAGATCCCAGTCTTTCTACGAGAGACTTGAGTCTCTCTCTCAATTTTCCAGTTTTACTCATTTAGTCTCTCTGTGAGAGATTGGAATCTCTAAATTAACAATTTTATCGTTCGAGTCTCTCATACAGAGACTGTGAGAGATCCATAAAAACACCTAGACAATAAGTAAGAGACTGTGAAAGACTGTGAGAAACGCTCTCAGAGACGCTGAAAGACTCTGAAAGATTCTGAGAGACTGGAGAGAGACTGAAAACTTTTGTCTAGTGTAGTCTCAAAGTATTTTAATTGCGTGACATTAACAAAATTAGAATTTCAACATATTATCACTTTAATGCTTTGTTACTCTAACTGCAATTCGTTTCATTAAACCAAGTGAGCACGGTTTCTCTCAGGACATACTTAATTACTGACCTAAGTATCATTATATGGTTTTCAGTTGCCCAAGTTTCGCATTCTAAAGAGAAGTAAGGCACAAGAGCACGAAGTTGCGGTTCAAGAAGCAGAAATGGTCTTTCACCTATTTACGAAAATGTTTTGATTTATAATTATTATTATTACTGCCTGGATTGTAGGGTGACTCACAATCTACAAATGTTATACGTATAAAGTTGACTGTCAAGGGTAGTTTGTATTACGAAATAATTTATAAACACGCAAACAAAAGAACAGCTGACTAATTTATTAACGTATACATCGTCATTCTACCCTAATTATTAAGGTCAAGAGTCGATGCTATTTTTATAAGAATTTTACAAATAAATTTACTGAAATGATTTACCCAAATTAATAACAATCCACTGGAATAAGGTTCAGAAACTACAATTACAACTATAATCGTTTAAGGTGTGTACAGTAAGAGTAATGAGATGTTAGGAATTTTTTGTATTATTTTAACTATTATAAATGCGAATGTGGATTTGTTTGTTTGTCGGCTTTTCACGCCGTAACTACTAAACAAATCATCATGAAATTTTGTACACCCATTGTCAGAGATATAGAAAAGGACATAGGGTACCTTTTATCCATAAGAAAAAATGCTATTTCCGAAGGATAGAAAAATTAGTATTACACGGAGAAAACTAAATTTTTATGGCAAAGCAAAAATTAAAATTTTCGATTGTAAATGACTGAATTTGCCGTAGAAATGGTAGAATTTATTAGGTACCCGTAGGAAATCTCTAATTTGACATGCTTTTTGAAGTGATAATTCGATGGAGCCGGCTACACGCACGAAAAAACATGACTCATGCGGCGTTACCTCGCTCTGAGGCGTTCCATTTAAGGCTTGAAGTGTAAGCGAGAGCGCGGAACGAGCGACAAAGAGGCACAATCGGCCTCCGCGTTCGGCAGCGTTCGACATCTGTCTCTCTCCTACTTGAGTGAGCGATGCGTCCGCGT